AATGCAAAATTACATAATTTATTCATTCCATTAAAATTACGGATGAAAATGACATAAATTCATTTCGAAAAATAATTAGCCCACATCTTTTTAATGCACAGAAAACTTCTGATACACTTCTTCAATTTGAAAACTGAATCGTAAAGTGCCAAATGCATTTAACATATCCCCTGGCGAAGGTTTTGTACATTACTTTTTATTAACGTTTCTCACTTCGTCATCGATCTCATTCTGGTTGCTATTTGTTATGCTCTTCAATATGTCCTTTCCAGTAAGAAACCTAAAGATCTCAATATCATCTATACATATAAAAGGAAGTCTGTCTGTGTGTGCATCTTTCTTTTTGCGCAGCGCGTAAGCTGATAGACCCAAGGCTACGAAGTTGTGTATATAGGGGTGCATCTAGACAAGAGTCAGTGCACCTCTAAGCGATTTTTTCAAAATTCTAATGAGTTTTTTTATTTTATGTTTTTTTGATGAAATCGCATCAAATCGATAATTCTCTGTCATTATATAGGGTGGCCCAGAAGTCACTTTACATTTTGAAAATTAAATAACTTTTTTTCTATTAATATATTTCTTTTTCTCTTTTAAGAATTAAAAAATATAATCCCTGGAAATTTTTGGCATGGATAAGTTTACAACAGAACAACGAGTGAAGATAATTGAATTTTACTTTGAAAATGGACGGTCAATTGTTGCAACGCAAGATATGCGCCATTTTAATGTTCGACCTCCCCTAGTAGGCCTGCAATAAGGAACTTAGTGACGCGTTTTTAAGGTCAATTAGTGCAATCTTTAAAAACCAGCAGACTTTCAGAAACGAGTAAATTATGCTGTCAGGTTTCAGAGAACTGCAAGAAATGACAATGAGTTTATTCACAAGTTGATCATGGGAGATGAAGCTCATTTCCATTTCAATGGACATGTGAATAAGCAAAAAATAAAAAAGAATTAATTAAATACAGTCATTTAAGAAAAAGTTATTTAATTTTCAAAATGTAAAGTGACTTCTGGGCCACCCTATATAAGCAACAATGGCACTCAACCACTGTTGCTGATATATCACTGTTACCATTGTTGCTGATATCAGCACTGTTGCCACTCGGAAAAATGAGGGCGATAATTCTATGCAGTTTTTAAATTTAATGCTTCTCTTGAATACTGTACGTTTGTCAAGAGAAGGCAATGAGAAGTAGTACTTTATTTATTATGATAATTAATATTTGTATTAAGGGATATGCTTATTTCATTGTATTTTTTGTACATTTTTATTGAAATTCATGTTTTAGTCCCAAAGGGGCAATTTGCTCTGAAGGGCTATTTCGTTTGATATGTTGCGTCGATTCAACGTTAAGCGTTGTTTCACTTTCAAATTGTTGCCACCAAATTTTATTGCTCTGTATTATATTTAAAGAAATTAAATAATGGAGAATCTGCATGAATGTGTGTATGTTTCTCGCCTTGTGATAAAACAACGGTTACCTAAAGCCAATCAAATTTTGAATAACTTACTCTTCCACCGAATATGGGCATCTGGAAGCCCTTGATGTGGAATTTGAAACTTGTTTTATTATCGATTTTATATCTTGTAACATTTTCAACGAATTTTTCGATTAACAAACTCAACGATTTCAAAGCCAAGGAAATGACAACACTGCACGGGAAAAAATAAAACACTTTTATCCATCGCAGCGTATGAGACTCTGTATATCCAAAGTTCTGAAGATATGCTGGTTTTAAAAATTATTTTCGCGATATTGCTTGTTGAATTGAATTTTATGGTTTTAGTACGTAGAATATGATATTTATTAAATAAAAATAGCACTCAAAACGTTAAAAAAAAAAAAAAAAAAAAAAAAAAAAAAAAAAAACCGCCCATTTGGGCGTAATTTAAAATCTGAAAAACCTTTCAGACTTTTGTGATTTTTTTTTTTTTTGATAAAGTTGTTCGGCAGAGTAAAATTCTGTGCAGTTTTTAAACTTAATGTTTGACGTTCCCTTTAGGCATTTTTCCAGTACATTTAAAAGCCAGACGAAGGCTGGTCACGTAGCGGCAAGTTAACTATAAATAAATAATCTTGTAACTGTTCATTATTCTTTAATTGTCCTTGATTTTCCACTGCAGCCATATGCTATTCAGTTCCTGATTTTGCCCATCATCGCCATTGAAGCTACTGTTATCAGTAGTACTGTTGAGTTCTACGGGTTTGTGGATTTGGAGTAACTGATGATAACACTTGATGAAGAATCAAAACACAATTGAGTTCCAGTAAGCACTATTACACAGGACTGATCCAAAGACACGTTTACAGTCGTCGAAAATCTACGATAAACATGCTGAGACAATCCGCAACACAGCCTTCAGGCTATAACGATGAAGAAAGCTTCATGGAAAAGCGCTAAAGTACAGCTCCCGACTCTCTCGATTGCTGTCAAGCTAATCTGTGAACTCCAAGCCACTACTGCTTTCTGAACTCAAGATGCTCCTCTACACTTTACTACAATCTCCCGTGACAGGCAGGCTATATATAGCTTTAACTTACCTTCGAGAATGTTCTCGAGAAAACCGCTAAGAATGAATTCTAGAATGCTCTCTCTCCGTCTATGGTATATCGCCAGTTTTGTCGCCGAATATCGCCAACTAGGAGATTTCACGCTCACTCTGGCAACTCTGCCTTTTCCTGACACTTTCTGGAAATCCTAATCCATTTTCCCCGTGAAGCTATCTTACCGGACATTGGATATTACGCAACAGTATTAATCTTAATGACGAGGCCGGGTTTTTCTGAAGCTACTGCGAACAGATTTTCTATTGATATCACAGTTCACTCCACTGCGAATAGATTTTCTATTGATATCACAGTTCACTCCACTGCGAATAGATTTTCCAGTGAACAGAGTTTTCAGTGACATTTTCCAGTGCTATTCCATATTTTTTTGCAAGTTCAGGTAGGCAGTCACGTTAACATATTATGCATAAAGGCTGATTACTTTCAATTCCTATTTGGACCTTCTTCAAAATTCTTTGCATACAGAAGGTAAAGTAGTTAGCTACGCTGACTGCCGTATTAAAGAGTCCAGATACAAATCCCGGCGAAAGCATGGGAATTTGTAATTGTATAGTGTTTGTGCGGCACTCAAAATATGTGGCAGGCCGAAAGCCCCCTCGAAAGTTTGGTGGTAGGGGAAGAGAGGGAGACTGTAGGATTCGCCCCCGGGGTGTTCTCCTTCAAAACTGGGACGGAAATGAGCATGAAGTCGCCTGTTACTTGAATGGTTCTCAAGGCTCTGGTCAATGGCTATCAACCTTGTACGCCTTGCTACGATAATAACCCGCGGTCATGCTCTGATTACATCAGAAGAATGAAATTAGTAACAACAACAGCATCAAAACTTTTTGCGATAATGCGTCTAAACAGTCTTTCACGCTTTGGTCGATAGGCTGCAGTTTCTCAGTGGTATTTGGATGACAGAATAAAAATCTTAACATTTTTATACTTGTATTTGATAACTTGAGAGTATACGCTGCAATTGTATATCACTAGAACAACTTTTTGCATTTAATACAAATACAAAATATCCTTTTAATACAAAATATCCAATACAACATATGGAGTGTGACAACAGATAACGAGCCACCTCCTCTTGTTTAGGACCACAGCAGTACTCACGTACGTAGCAGAGCAAATGAATAAATAATTTTAAAGTAGAAAGAAAATTTCTAGATATTTATCCCTTCAAAAATTTCGTTAAATAGAGAGTATACTTCGCTATTTGGAGACATTTTATAAGGAAATACACATCTCGGACAAAATACCGAGAAAAGCTGCGCTAAATAGAGAAATCTGTGAAACAGGTTCTTTAAACAGAGGTTTCACTATAAATTGTGTAGGAAGTAATGAACTTACCAACTGAAGAAAAAGGGGAATGGAAATGTGCTGTAATAAGTGCAAACAAGACGCTGAAAACAAATAAACAAATAGATATTTGTAGGCAATCAATTCGTTACCGGTAAACTAACACGTTGTGAAAGCAGTTGAATGTCCTCTTCTGATATGAAGAGGAGGTCGATTTCTGAAATTATGCCTCCACAATAATTAATGTTGCTTTGAAACATGTTGACTAGCCGAAACGTTTTTAATCTAAGGAATGTAACGGACTGAGAAGAAGAAGCGGACACACAGATATATAAATAACAAAGTTCAGCTGTTAAAAATGCATTGGTAGAATTACCGTTCATTCTAAAAAAGTTCATAAAATTGTCAACAAATATTACAGAAAAGTAAGAGTAGTTTTTATTAAATATAGAAGGTTATAGTGCTTTTTCAAATATACGTCCGTAAAAGAAATCACAGAATGATTTCACCTCATAGTGGCAAGAAAAGCTTAAAAAAATATTATATTTTTAATAAAAAATACATTTGTCATCAACCATTTTTAGTCTATAATTAATTTATGATTACCTTCATTGTGAGAGATACCGTAGATCTAACAAAGAGTACGTTTAAAATATTTAAGGCGCTCACGCAATGTCTCCTGGGGTAAAAATCAAATTTCAATAATTACAGCCAAAGCATATACTTCAGACAAAATAACTTTACTTTTAACAGCTAGATTTTTTTTCTAAAATCAGCGATAATAATTACTATTCGCTATCACTAAAAACATCTGCGTTTCCATTTCTGAAAACTAACATATTTCTTATTAAATACTGTATGATAAATGCTGAAAATCCGATAATCTCGAAAATTACCTACTGTAACACAGATGTTTAGTTTGTATAGATCATAATGTTCCTGCTTATCAGATCTATTTTCCAAGAACACTTTAATAATGCATAGCGAAGAACTTTAATGCAAACAGTCATATTATGTCTCATGACAGTAGCGACCAATGAATGAACCGTTATAATAGATATTATCGAGTGCCATGTACCTCCGCTGCCTGCTATCGGCGGTGGGTAGGATGCGCTGCTTTCTTATTTAAGTACTGTTGCCTATGCCTTCGATTAAACCTCTCCTGGAAGTTCGAGCAGTAAAGTTTGCGAGTGGCGCTGTTAGCGTTTCGGAATCTAGAGGATGGTCGACTGACGGATTTCGTTCTTGTTTGAAGACCATGTGGCCAACGGTGCTCTTCCTTCTTCAAGGTACGTGCTCTTTTATACGTTTTTAGTTTGTCTATCATCCTCCTTTCTTACTGTTTTCGGAGTTCAGTGATGATTCATATACGTGTGTTTAAAAAGCTCTATTTACAAAAACATTACCTAAAACATTTAATCTAATTAGTAGAATTTCAATACTTAAGTACGAAAGTACTTCGAGATTACATACCGACATAAGATGAAATAATTTCGAAGAAGGAAAATTCAGGGTAAGAAAACTAAGGACTATTAGATATAAATTACATCTGTACTGTTTTGAAAATATAAAGTTATAAAAATTGTGAAGCAAATTTTATATTGAAATTTTCTAATAATTTCAGATTTGATATTTAGACGAAAGTTTCAGAAAATAAAATATCATCAGGGGTTACTTAAAAGAATTTTATGATGCATAAACTCAGGTAGGATACTTCGTAAACATAAAATCTCACAAATTACCGTTGTGGATATAACTATATATGTGTTTTTATTTGTGCTCGATAATGAGAAGATAAATAAGATAATTTGTTACCAGAGACAGAATATAATTCAGCTCTTAAATTTTATTCTTTATCCTGAAGAATAAGTTTGATAACGTTTTTAAATACGAGACTGATTTCCATCACTAAACTTCCGGGAATCTTTTAATCATAATTTCTGTTTCCAAGTGTTTCATGTATATTTTCATGAATAAATATCCAGAAACATTTATATACTGCTGCATCTATAAACATTTATAAGCTAGTAGACCTACAGACATTTATATTATCCTTTAGTGTAAGTTGATAGCATATATTGGCAGAAAAGAACTCGACATATATTATCTGTGATTAATAATGAATGTGGTGTGTTTCATATAAGTCCAGATAATTTCAACTCCGAACTTTTTGGAGACGCTTCTTAATTATCATTTTATTAATCTTTTATGACACGAATAATGCCTTCATTCATATACATTTAAACATATATATGTACACATACACAGCTTTTGTGTGGGTATGTATACACACCCACGCACATATGTATATTATAAATATGTATATATAGGGAAACAGATCAGAATTGGAGATGCAGTATTCTCAAATTATAAAATGTAACATTTTACATTTTTTCCAACAAATTAAAATGTCTAAAATATCCCTTACCTTTAAGTGCAAAATTTGTAGAGATATCCTAGAACGAATTTACTGCATTGGATCACTTCTCAGTAGCTATTGTCAAACAATTTAGAATAACTATTACCACATTTAAGGCAGATTTGCAATTGATGATTAATGATTCGGTGCTGGGTGAAACTGCACCCGTTATTAACATGTAATTATCTATTACAAATATGTCCCCGATTTTTTGTAAAGGTAAAGACCTTTTTATTCATTCATAAAAGCATAATAAATATTTTACAAATTGGATTTTTTGCTATATAATATAACTATTAAGATATAAATATATATACGCGATATAAATATTAAGATTCTGATTTACAGCAGTCTTTTCCTATCATATTCTTCTATATTAGTTTGAGAAACTTTGCGAATAGACGTACATATTTAGACACAAAGTGAATACCTAGGATCAATGAAGCCTGCATATAAGTTTTTGAATACGTTATGTATACATCTTTATCAACATGACTTGCATTAATAATCTTTAATATATATTCTGAATATTAAAAAGAGAAAAATAGGAAAATTGGATAAAATCTGAATTCGATGTGGTTAGGTTAGGTTATTTAATTACAGCAAAGCCTCGAGGGCTATCTGCATAAGGGGCGGGATGCCTTCGTGGAGGACTTTCTAAGGGAAACTGGCTCGTATACACGTTACACAGATGTTTAATGTGGACGTTACACAGATGTTTAACACATGGGGAAAATTACGAAAACACCCATGCAGCCAGCCCGTTCGCGGGATTAAAACCTCGGACTGAACTACCAGTGTTCAGCGACTTTACCGCTCGGCCGCTGGTGGGCCCCCGAATTCGATATGAAAGCAATGCGTTGATATAACAAATGAGTTTCCTATTTATTTAAAGATTAAGAATTTTTTGTTATATTTATACAAATAAAATAAAAAATTAAAATCTTGGAAATTTTACGTTCAGATTTATAAATAATTAATTTGTCTTGACTATATTGAAATTATATTTCTATATTGAAACGATCAATATAGGAATTCTAATTGAAATAAGTAAATGAAATATATTAATTTAGTAGCTGTAAATGATTCAATTAAAATTTTTCACAAATGTGTAAAAGTACAGAAAATTAAACGTCTGCTTATTACACGATAAATTTCCATTTTATTTAACCATGAAACAAATTATGCAGATAGGTAAATAATAAAGAGCTGCACTAGATTATGGACATTGGAGACATGATTTCGCATATTAAGTAATTTTAGAGCTAAATAAAACTATTTTTATGTGGTAGATTTGTACCCTGTACAATAAAATGCACTGTTGGACTATACATATAGGAGAGAAATTATAAAAAAAAAAAAACAAACTGAGCAGATATAATTGCAGCAAATTGCACGTTAAGTCTTTAATTATGTGATGCGGAACGCAAGAAAAATTTTATTTATCATGTAACTTATTGGAGCTGACTATTAACTATTCCCACATTTCGTAAGTTTTAGCATATCAGCAGAAGATACACCTGCAGTTTAATACAAGCATTCGAGTACAGTATGTGTTCATAAATGTTTGCTTGCGCTCTAGAGTCATTTGTTTTAAAGGAGAAGTTTTAATGCATTATTTTCTGTATTAAACCAATACACATTTTCTTTACTCTAAGAGAAAAATCACGGGAATATCTGCGCAGTTCTACCGTCAAGTATCAAACTCAAGATGAAAGTAGAGTTTTTCAAAGTCTTAGCAATTTCAAGCTTAGCGGTTTAAGGTGATAATTTTCTTTCTTTTTTTGTTAACCCTTTTTTACTGTTAATTTTCAACTTTTCCGATTTTCATCCCATATTTTATCGAAATTTTCTTTTTATCGTCATTTTTGAAGATATCTTTATAAATTAAATAATTCAGTGGTTCAAAAGCTGGTACCTAAGACGATTTAAGTTAAAACTCCAAGCAGATTTAAAAGAAATGTTTGAAAAGAAATTAGTTTAATATGAATTCTGCAGCATTTTCATCATAAAATATTTCTTTTTTTATTTTGACGCACAAGCATCAGAGAAAGAGAATTCAAGCAAGGAAGAATTTAAATTTAACTTCACTTATTATTTCAACCAACAAAAGATTTCTTATTTTAGTATAAATACTTTTCATTTTACATGAAGCTCTGCAATGTATCGTTATAATCTTCTTTAGTTGATTTAAAATTTCTCTCTCTATTAACATCTTAAAGCAGCTGGATATTTGGAGCGAATCCTAACGAAGACAACTAGTCAATAAAATGACCAGTGATTATTCGCTTATTTGGAACAGCGTGTCTTTAAGTAAGGACTTAAACCTCATAAAGTTTAGAAATCTTCTTTGCAATCATACTGTACTAAACCTTATACATAAACTTTAAATAAGCCGTAGACAGATTGCCAGAGAATTACTGCCAAGTCTAAAATAACAACTGGAACTTCAGAAGTGTGTAAAATATCCTTTGTTTAAAACTCAATAAGAACAGAAAGCTCATCTGGTTCGTAAAATTCAGCCAACCTCTTGCGGCATAATAACTTAAAGTAACAGAAGTCAAATGTAAAATTTAAATTAAATATGCTAGTTGCCGAAAATCAATTTAATGCGAAGCTAGCTCAAAATTTAACAGGCTTGTATTTTCAACTGTTGACAATTATAATGCAAGGCCGAAGACTAAAGATCGTATCTAAGAGAAGAACTCCATAACGTGGCTTCGAGAGGCACAACATGCTCTGTCTTACAAGGTAAAAAAAAACCCTCATATTAAATACACGCAAACTAATTTGCATTCTGGCGGTAAAACGGAAGTGACAGCAAAGATCCAAAATGCAAAGCAATTGGTTAATTAACATAAAGAAACTTTACAACCTCTGATATGCCCCATGTAAGCTAAACTGATTGGATATTCTTGAGCTCAGGATATTCTTGGCTTCTATTTGAGTATTTCACTGTTAATGACGATATCTGTACATCTTGCTGCAATCTAGGGATCTTATTTTTAACTTTGTATTTGACTTTGATAATCTACTATGATAATATGCTACGATAATCTACTGATAATCCACCACGCATTCTCAGTGCATTCATAGTGGTGTTTGACGATTTTTAAAGAATCTGGGAGTAAAATTTTAAAAATTTGATTTCTATAATATTGTCGTTCTTGATCATAAAGTCTTCTACATTCTAAAGAAACGGTAATATAAATACAATATATCTATGCCTTCTGATTGTTATGGTTAAATCGAAATAAGTTAACTCCCTAAGGCAATAAAAAAACAGAGTAATTGAAATTTACTGAACACTAATATGACCAGTTCATATTTTTGGAGATAGTGGACATTATTCACGTGTACTGCGCCTCATAGTAATTTTCCAGAGGAGATCGTTTATAGCAATATATCACACTGCTATATGAATAATAATCCGCCTCTTACATGCATAATGTATTTAACTGATCTTACTGAATGTTTACTGAGTTTAAAAGGAATCAATTACTTTCTCATTTCGAGTATATTTACTTTCAGCTGCAGCTGTTTGTACGGGAATGCATGAATTAGTTTTTCTCTTTGTTTTGAGACACTTGATGGCCGTCTGGAAACTCAGCATTGTTTTTCTCATACAGTGAACATAGGAAATAAAATTCAAAAAGTTGCGTTCATTACAGGATTTATATAACAAGCTATTTTTGAAAAACCATTGCCTTGAGGCTTTGAAAGAAATAAATTAATTTTATCTCATAAAACATTAATTGTATAAAGCAAATTATAGCAACATAAAATTATCATCAATTATTATAACAACGTAACATAATTGCACTTCACAGCACGTAACAAATATAACCTGAATTAACATGGAATTTTTTT